GCCCCAATCTTCATCGTCATTTGGCTGTTTTACAGAAAAAAAAAAAAAAAAGCTTCACTCATTACCACACATTCTCTAGAGGAGGGTGCAGATTGTGGAAACCATGGGGCAGGAAACTGGATCCCTTTAGAAAGTCCAGAGAGAGAGTGTCAGGGAAGTCTTGTCAACAGGCCCCACTGTGTGTGCAGCTCTGGGCTCCAGTCGAGGCACTGGATAAGGATTCTGAGGATTGTGTGGTGAGAAGGGGGTGAGCACCATATGACCAATTTGATGTAGAGGGGACTTCCAGCTTTCTGAATGTTGGGGTGTATGGGGCGGCTATCCACCAGGACAGGGGTCTCCGCAGAGGCTCAGGTTGAAGAGAGGTGATGGATTGAGTTTTGCTGTGTGTGTTTGAGAAGCTCACACGACATCTGCTCTCACTCGGCCTTTGAACATAGGGGCTGCTCCACCCAAAGAGAGGTCTGGGCTGGAGAAATGGGGAGTCACCAACATGGGTGGTGGTGACTGAGAAGGATGAGAGCCCCCAGGCAGAAAGCCAAGTGGGAACTCAGAAGAGAAGGTTTGGCAGCATCGCCAAGAATACCAGCATCTCTCCCTCGTTACTCATTGTCTGTTTCTGCCCCTCCCAGCGATGAGATTTTGCAACACGCTGTAGACCTCAGTTTCTTCATTTGTAAAGTGGGAGTCATGTCTTCTCCCTCTGTCCCATGGTGTTTTGAGATAGATGGTTATGTTTCTAGTGGAACGTGGTTCAGTGACCAGATTTACGACCGGTGCTGTCAAAACCACTCTAAAATGGGTAAAAATCAGATCAAAAGGAATCAGGCAGAAGATGGTAGAAATGAATTTTTGGAAGCTGAAATGCAGATGAACAAGTGGCAACAGATTTAAAAGCCAAAGGCTTGCTAGGCAGACAGTGAAGGGAAGATTAGAAGCTAGCAAATATTTGAATAGTGCTCGGAAATTTACTAAGGTTTCTGCCTGCATCTCTTTCCTGTGAGTTCTTTTTTCTTTAAAGAAATAAATGGAGTAAGGAGGATGGCAGAACCCTGGTTTACTGCTTCCTTTACCCATGGACAGTTAGGTGGTTCCTAGTAGGAAGAAATTAAACATCACACAAAATGGTTGTTTCCTCTGAAAGGGGGGGGGGAGAATGAAGAGTGGATTTTCCTGTATTCTATTTCTCTCCCCCTACCACCACATGTTGGTTAATTAATTAATTCCCAGTTGTAAAGAGATATTATTGACATATAATATTGTGTAAGTTAAAGAGGCACAGCATGATTACCGTAATGTTAGTAAACACATCATTGTCTCTCAATTACCTTTTCTGTTTGTGTGTTGAGAAACTTTTAAAGGCCAGTCTTATTTTTAGCAACTTTTCTTTTGTTGTTGTTTTTTAAAAGATTTATTTATTTATGCATACAGAACTAGGGTACATGCCAGAGATGCAGGGGCAGTGAGAGGATTCATCTGAGACAGAGTGAAGAGCAGAACAGGCAGATTGATGAAGTACACTGCTGAGGGGAGCAGTAGGCAGGAGCGGGTCAGGAGAGGTGTGCCACGCCATGTGGGTCACTTCCAGGGCGGTGATTGAACTCATGCTAAAGTGGCTTTAGCTTCTTAGTGCTGTGCTTTACCACCCTGCGCCACCAGGGAGGGCTCCTATTTTTAGCAACTTTTAAGTCTGCAATACAGTATAGACCACCCCCCAATTATTCATCTTATAACAGGAAGTTTGCACTCTCTGTCCACCTTGAGGTATTGCCAATTGACAATTCTATGCAGCAATAGCTAACTTGTGATACAGGATTGTATTAGATGTAGGGATATTACCTTTGGGATCGAGAGTTAATAAGTTCGCGTGGTCAGTGGAGAGAGACAGACTACAAACAGCCTGCTTTCCTGACTAGTGTAAGCTTCATGAAGGGTTATTCTGTGGCTTTCCTTTAGTTACAGAGGAACCTGGGCACAGGCACACCTTGTAAACTCTGGTCTTGGCTATAGAAATAATTTAAAAATTATGCAAAACCAAATGATATGCTGATATGTTGAGAAATTAGTGAAAATGGGGGAAAAATCCTTTTCCATCTCAGCCACGCTCAGGTAATAACTACCCTTTCCCTTTTGCCCTCAAGTTCTAATAAATGAATATCCCATAAGACTGTACTAATAGTATGGGTGGTAATCAGATATACTTTTTATTTAACATGTAATCGTATTACAGAGTGATATGATCTCATTTCACTAGTAAACTTATATCTTTAAAATACAGTTAAATTTATAGGGAATTGCAAAGATAACAGAAATTTTGCCTACTTTCATCCAGTTTCTCCTCATGATACACCTTACATGGTACAAGATCTAATTTACACAATTTAATGATAACATGACCACAGGACATTTGTTAAATTTAAATAATTCACTAGTGCTAGTGCTAGCCAGTAGTGATATAATGTTATTAATTAAGCTGCACTTTTTGCTTGTAGTTCACTGGTTTTCCTACTAATGTCCTTTTTCTGTTCTGGATCCAAACCAAGATACCATCATGTATTTAGTGAATGTTCACTTATAATGTTTGTCTAATGATCCCCCCCAGGGGACCACAATTGACTTGACCCTTTCTTTCTTTCTAAATATTTAGATTGTTTGTTTTTTCTGTATCACACATCATCCTACCAAGAATATCTTCATGAGAACAACTTCCTCTTCTGAGATTCTTTCTTAACAACAGATTGTAATTACAGTGCTGAGAGCCCAAGGAGAGGAACATATGGATGTATGTATGGCCTGGAGATTATTGGACATTGCCAGCTTCTCTTCCAAAATGCCTGAGCTCATTTGTGCTGCCATAAGTAATTTTTTAGGGGAGCATATTTATGTGTTCTTGTCAGTATTAGTTACTATCACTTAAACATTTGGCTAATTTAATAGGTGAATTTAAAACCTATTTGGATTTATTTGATAACTGGAAAATCTGAATATTTCATCCTAGGTGTTTACCAACTATATTTCATCTTTTATGAGTTGCCTCACTATATTTATATATCAGGGCCTTAATATATTTTTTATCAATATGGATGAGTTTTGTAATAAAGATCTTCCTAACCTGTCATTTTGCTGCAATTATTTACCTCTAGATCTGCTTTTTGAGTCTTTTATAGTTTTTGAAGAGCATAATGCCATTTTTTTATGACGTCGAATCCATTACTCTATTCTCATCACCTCTTTCAAGTTTATAAAGTTTTCTCTCAAAAAATCTTCTTTCAAAATGCAACTCTATCCAGTCAACATATAATTTGGTCTCCAATCTGCCTTTCTGACTCTGCTGGAATACTCTCAGTGTTTGACCCAAATGCCTGGCCTGGCCACCTCTTGTTGACCAGCAGCCGACGACGGATGACGTCACCGCCCTCTCCTGGCCAGTAAAGTTGACATTGCGCTCCCAGAGGCGTGGATGGCACTTCACCCCCCTTGTTGCCCTGGCAGGATCCTTGTAGTCAGTCTTACCCCTTCCTCTCCTTTACCACCCACATCTACCCCGCCTGGCCTCTGTTCGGCTTCCATTTTGTGACTCACCCTCCCCCACCTTCCACCCCCCTCTTTGGGAGCAGAGTGTGTGCTGCTTCCTCTGCTGTTCACTTTTGCCACCCCCCTTTGCCTCAGCCCTACCCTCCGTCGGGGGAGTCAGGCACATCTTCCCTGGTGCTACCGAGTGCCCCGTGCCTCCCTGGATGCTCCGTACCCCCAACTTTAATGTCCTGCTAACTTGTCTGTGACCCTCGTCTCCCTCCATCAGACGTGTGCGTGGTATGTGCAAGAGTGTAACACACAGTACCAGGGAGAGAAGCAGGAGAACTCTACATGTCACTGTAAAGAGACTCATCAGGTCGTATCTGTCAGGAGAAAATCCAGCTGTAGAACATTCATAGACTCAAGGGGCGTCTACTGAACTCATCTACTTACTGTGCTCCATGCAAGGCGACTTAGAACTGTCTTCATGAAGCAGTAATTAAAATACCGCGGTCTTGGAACCAAATTAAGTACCTCAAAGTAGTGGAATAAAAAATATTGTAAATTATGGTACGTGCACTAAGTGAAAGAACTAGCAGTCATTCAAAGTAACGCGTTTGGTCAGTGAATCTATATATGTGGTGAATGTTGGTAATGTCATTATCTGTACACAAAATCAAAATAAGAGTTATAGATATATAAATACATATGCACATACACGTGTCTATACATGCATGTATCATTTAAAAACCTGCAGGCGACCAAAGGGGGCATACTATACTCAGTGTTCACAGGACTCATCTGCAGAGTAGAACTTTTTTTTTGTATTTTCTAAATTTTGGCAATATGTTATTTTTAGAAGCAAATTTATTATTTATAATCACAAAATTAAGTATAGTATAAGGTACATATAGTAAACACAGGAAATTTCCTAACCCCATTTTATATGTCTGTGGAATAAGAAATATTAGCTATATAAGCACATTTACCTATATATCTATAGAATATGCAATATACCTATGAAGCAGAGGCATTATAGAATAAAAAGGAAAACCACTGCCTCACACTATTACATACTAGCCTTCCAGAGTCAAGTCAGAAGTGGTTAGTCTACACAGCCTTCACCTCTTTGCTGGCCCCTGAAGTACCAGAAGTTGCAGAAGAATGTTCTATTAATTTGATTTCCAGCAATGAGGGAGACACTGGTCTCCTCTTCCAGCTGCGAAGGGGTAGCAGAGCCCTGGTGGGGACAGCTGAGCCAGGCATGGCATGTGGGAAGATGTCTGCATTCGGGCTGCAGAGTCATCTCAAATCCCGTGTAAATATACTCACGTTGGGCCATATGGAACTTTGTTTTGAGGTAACGCATTGACAACACAGAAGTACAGGTTCATAGTTCTTCGGATGGGTGTTACCACACCATACCCTCCACCTGAGTTCCAGGAAGCTTGGAACGTCTAATACATTCTCTTCTTTTGTGGCAGGCAAGATGGGGCCTCCTCTTGACATCACCCTAGACGCAGTGAACTGTACAGCTTTCAGCATCCGGTGGAAAATGCCCAGGCATTTGGAGAGCCCCATCTCGGGCTTCACTGTGAGTAATTGGGCATGGGGATCCTGTAGTGAGGGTGTTGGGGTGACTGTATGTCCTTCCCATCTTTACCCCTCCTCTGTCCCTTATATCAGCCTTTAATGTTAATAACTGACCCATTCTCTTTCTGTAAAACCAGTGGGAACATTTACCTTTTAAGGGTGTTGCTAGTACCTCGAAAGTCCATTGGGACTGGCCCATTCCATACTCTCTCCAGGGATGGAAAAATACAAACTGAGCAGAAGACGTGGTTCCTCCTATGCAGTTGCCCAATAGACAACTTGGAGATGAAAGCAGCAATATGGGAAATAATAGGGAGTCACTGTGGAATTTGGGCCATAAGCTCAAAGAATGTGAAATTTGAATGAAAGGGTGGACAGGGGGGAGGAAAGAGAGAATGCATTCCTCCCTATCAGAGGTTACAAATCAGACTGATTGCAGCTCACTGAGATGTTTTCGTTGAGCAGTTTTTAAAAATGAGTCAACTTTTAGGACGCAGGAGTCTTCAGATAAATATTTGGAATTCTGTTATCTCTGGGACTCTCCAGAGAGTTAGCCACGCCCCTTCGGCTTCACATTCTTTTAGGGTATCAAATGCACTGGGGCCGAGCTGTTCACCTTAGGTGGGTTGTCAACTCCTCCCCTTGCCCCATCAAACCCTAGACTTGCCACTCTTTCCTGGTTTCCTGTTAGCAAGAAAGAGAAGCTATTTATCATGGCCTTGTCCTGTTGTCTTCTCAGAGAAGAGAAATGTTTTTCTCTCATGTTGTATCAAAAGTGGGAAGACAAAAGATGACCTTAGAGAAGAGCGTTTCAGGAGAATACTAGGAGCTGAATGCCACCTCCCCCACCCCACCTCAGCCATACACATCTTCCTGAAGGCCTCAGCAGGCCTCTGCTAGCATGTTTGATGTTGCCACGTGACTCATGTATTTGTGCTGAGGCGAGCACCTCAGAACGCACACAGGGTGTGTGTGTGCGCTCAAAACCAAGGGCCATGGACCCGCAAGAAGTCCTGGCCCCAGTGTCACCCCACTTGCCTGCCTCTTTTTCAGGTCTTTTACTCTGAGGTCAGTGGAGTCAACTCCCTGCAGGAACGGTCCCACAGCGTGCGGCTCAGCCAGGACCCCCCGGCCACTGTGAGTACTGCACTGCTGGCTGCCCCCCGGAGCCCACAGGTGCTTGGCATTTTGGCCACCTTCAGAAGGATTTCTAATTGGTGTGTGCGTGCTACTGTCTGTGCACAACGACAACTAATGTGTGTGTGTAGTCCTTTGGGGTTTCTGAAAGTCCCTCCGAGCATCACCTCATCACACGCATCTATGGTTCCAGGGTGGTGGCCACTGGCAGCGGCCTGGCGCCAGGCCTGCCTGCTGACCTCAATCCACCGTTCACCACGCAGAAGCAATCACCTTTTCTTAAGGAAGCTCAAGCCTGGTTTTTTAAAAAATCCCAATAAAACTTTATAAAAAAAATCCTACACATTTGTATCTTCCCAATTGCCTGAAGACACAAGGCAGTAGAAAATAATGTAATTTGAAATGTTTGTTCAAATGGCCCTATGTTCTATTTATTTTGCTCGAGCCCAGCACCCTGTCCTTCCACAAACCAGTTGTTGGCTCTCCATCTATTTTTTTTCTGTTTCCAGTCAAGGTCTTTCTGGGTGAGTTTTTGTGCCTTAGGCATGTTCTGTCTTTTTTCTTTCACTTTCCTTCTCCCTCTTCATTCTACTAAAATTCTCCTACAGGCGAGAGCCTTGAATTGCTCTACCAGGAGTTAACAGCAGCATGGAATTCTGCTGTGGTGGAGGTAGCAGTGCTGGTGGTAATGTTTGTCACTCCTGCTTAATAAGTGATGCCAGCATAGAGCATATTTTGAAGCCTACTTGACCTCTGTGATGAGTGGCCCTGACTGAGGGAGCATCTGTTACCTGCTGGGCACTATTCTCAAGCTTTCATTTGTTTTTGTTGTTGTTTTATCTAATCTTCATAACTATCCTGTGACCTGTTTTACTGACAATGACACTGAGACTCAGAGAGGTGAAGTAAGTTTCCCTAAATAACATATTTGCAAAGAACAGAGTGGGCCATAAACCTAGAACAGACTGATGTCTGAGCCCCAGTCTGTTTACTTTGCCAAATACTTCATGACTCTAGAGAAGGGACACACATTCTCATATTTTGCATGAGATGCTTTCAATTTTGGCTTCAGCTGAAGCAGGCTTCATTTACCTCAGAACTCTCGGGACCAACTATGTCTTCACTCTATCCTAAAAGGGGGAGATTGAGTTGACTCTGTCTAGGAAAACAGCTGAGGTCTGTCTCCCCTCAGTAAGAGAATTAATGAGCCCGTGGACCCCACCAAGGGGCTGGCAGTGTCTCCAGCTTCCCAGTCCATTTTCCTGTGGTGAAAGTGACTCACGGCTTTGCCCAGAACACAATCCAGGCTGAGCGGGAACAGTGCAGTGACTGGAGTCTCACCAGTGCTGGTGTCCTGGAGACTGGACATTGTTTCTGAAATTGAGATCCTGTCCCCCAACAAGAGCCTGGCCTGGCATGTCTGGGAAGGCCAGTACAGTGCAGATAGTAGGCCTGCTGGGAGGCAGGAACATTCCAGACCAGCTTTCTTCACTTACAAGGTAGGTGGCTTTGGTCAAAGTTACTTAGTCTCTTTAGGCCTCATCTTTGTCCCATGAGAGGGGCATCATGATTGTACTGTTGTGACTGGCAAATACAGCTATTTATATATATAAAATCCTTTGGTAAAATATCAAGAAGTATGGCCCTCCCTGGTGGCACAGCGGGTTAAAGCACAGCACTGAGAAGCTAAAGCAACTTCAGCATGAGTTTGATCCCCACCTGCCCCTGAGGTGATCCACATGGTCCAGCAGACCTCTCCTGACACGCCCGCTGCTCCCCTCAGCAGCGTACTTCGTCAGTCGGCCCAGTTCTGCTCCCCACTCTGTCTCTGGTGAATTCTCTCACCGCCCCTGCACCTCTGGCCTGCACCCCAGTTCTGTATGGATAAATAAATAAATCTTTAAAAAATATATCAAGAAGTCATGGTGGTGCTAATGTCAGTCCTGATGGCTTTATGTTTGATGTATTCTCTCTGTTCATTATATGTGCGTGCTGGACTTTGCTATCCATTGTAGCACACTGCTCACCTTGCTGATTTCAACAAACTTTACTATGGCTACTGTTTGTCCAGCCTAAGACGGTATAGTCCTTTTGTTTGGGCAGCTTTCAGTCTTGTTGAGAAAACCACCTTCACGTTGATGAAACAATTACAGAACGTAAGCCCAGATCTGATCTAGGTGCACTTAACAGATAGACTGAAGTTTAAAGGAGGGCAAGATTAGTATAGGGACAAATGGTTAAGAAATAAAATTAGACTGAGCATTGACTTAGGAGTCGTTTCTGGAAAGACGTAAAAGAGCGTGGGGCATTTGAATCAAAGGGAATGGTTGAAGCCAAAGGATTAAGCGTGTGTGTGTGTGTGTGTGTGTGTGTGTGTGTGTGTGTGTGTGTGTGTG